GGCCGGCAGACAGACAGGGCAGTGTGTGATGGCAAGGGTGGGACACAGATGGTTATGGACGCGGAGGTAGCAGGACGAGGTCCCGGTCCTCACGAGGATGATAAATGACCAGCTCGGGGTAGTTTGTCCTCTTTATGACGTCAGTGAAGTGCACGGCGGCATTAACTTGATTGGATGGAGCTGAGGTGACAGGCTTTGTCCCTCTGGAGACGAGCCAGTGGCTTCTCCCGCAGCACGTCCACATCAGGCCCCGATGAAGGGGACGGAATGCTAATGCGAGCTGCGGATGCATGTCACCAGTAAATGGTAAACAGGCCGTGCTGGTGGAGCGCTTTTCTTAGTCTTCCGATTCACTCCATCACGCGCCGATGACAGGAGCTACCGCGCAACGGAGACACCTGTCCATCAGCAACACTCACACCGGCCGCACAGCGCAGCCGCAGCCTCTGGAGCGGCGTCTCGCCCGAGGACACAACAACATGCAGATTAGCGGGAGCCGGGCATCGAACCTCAAATCCTCTGACGGATTTTTAGATTTGTAGTTTTGTTTCATTTCGATTTCTCTTCTCTTCTTTTTCGTCATTCACAGTAAACCGTTTTCATTCTCACCCGGAGACATCTCAAAACATCAAATCGAGATCAAATCAAATCTAAAGGAAGCTCTGGACTAAATAGATGGATGCAATCGAATCAACAAAAAGTGGGCAAACAAAAATGTATCTTTGCTTTTATTAATTATAGTGTCAATTGGAACATTAAGAAAAATATAAAACTTCGATTTGTGATCAATGCCTGAACTCTTCCTCAGAGGAAAACTAGTCAGAGAAACAGATCAATGAACCTGAAAGGGTACAAATTGCACAACTGTCCTGTGCAGGAAATGTGTATTTTATAATGATATTGATCCCTAGGAATTGTCTTTACCGAGTCGATGTGTTGATGGGTGTCCTCTTTGATTGGACAGCATCCCTCCAGCGCTGCTTTTTCCTCCATCCAACACACTCATTCCTTTATCTCTCTATCTGTGTCTTCCCGTCTCTCTGTCTTTGATTCCAAAGAGCCCGGGGCTTTCTTCCATTCTCGTTTCCCTCACTCGCCTCTTTGTTTTCCTCCTCCATCTGTCTCTTTGGTGGGTTGCCATTTATTCGCTTCCTGTATCTGTGAGTCAAAACAAACGAGAGACCCCAATGACACATTTGAATACCTAAACATTACGCTGGTTGAGCATCTTGTCTTATATGTTGTTCAGCGTGGGCTTCACAGCACAGTAACTAGTTGAATACAACAGTTTTCACCTGTTTAGTAACAATAGAAAAAGTTCTGTGTGTGCCTTCAATCTTTTGTTGCAGTATAATCTTATTTTCTAGATCTCTATTCGATGGACGCGTATTCGCTGTCAGAAAATAATGTGAGTTTTTTTCTATATGTTTTCTAAAGCTACAGACTCACAGAGCAAAACTTCATCTACCAACTCATTTGCTGCTGGATTCAGGTCTGGTAATAACCAGATCTGATTCAACCTCGATACGTAAAGATAAACTAAACATGTCCATATTCCATAGTGACATTGATAGCTGTACTTTGCGACAACCTTGATTCATTTGTGAAGGAAAATCCCCAGATTTGGGAACCTGATTAAGAGACGCAGAAACCATCAAACAAGATGATAATATTAATCTTTTTAACGCTTGTCAACAAATAAGCCTTGTAAATATATTTTAAAAAACTCTGGCTAAAAACGTGATTTTACTGATTTTACTTTAGTTGACATTTGCTCTGGGAATCATATTGATCATCAGTGTGGTTTCTCCTCTTTGTCCAGTAATCAAAACCTGCTTCTCATATTTACAGAAAGAAAACAAATTCAAAAAATGAAAACAATCAAAAGAGAAAACTTAGTCTTAGTGCTTAACGTATTACATCAAAGACAGACTGGATGCATTATCAAGCACACTGTGCTGTCCGTCTCAAAGAGGTTTCCTGTGACGACGCCTCAGTAGTTGTCCCAGTCCAACCAGTCAGATGCCTCCCGGCATAAACACAGGAAGAAGCGTCCCTCTAGTTGTGAGTAAACAGGAAAGGTTGGGACCTTCTGATCGTAGAGCCAAGATGATGAGATCTTGGAATCAAAAGATTGCTGTGCTATGAGAATGTCCATCTAGTCAAATGCGCACTGTACTGGGAATAAAACACATCCTACATTTCATTGGTGGCAAACGGATGGAGCCATGGAGGTTTCAGCTGAGTAATCAAAAGTTCACCTTTACTTTCCTCCTGGGTTTTTTATCCATCTGCGCTGCAGTTTTCCAAAGTGCCACCAGGAGGTCGAGGGACAGAAGAGCAAGATAACGAGCAGAGGAAATACCAGATAAACAGCACAACCCACTTGATGATGAGGCTGATGGCCACAACTTGTTCTGACTGGGGGAAAAAATCATTCACACCTTTAGTGACGCAGTAACTGCTTGGTTTTCTGTAGTGGTGATTTAAATTGAGCCTGTTCTCTAAGCCTGCATTCTTTTTTTATAGCTCCAGGGATCTTTTTTTTATTCGTTATCCGCTGTAGGTCACTAGTGTCACGTAAGAATAATTATCAATACACGGCTTTCTGTCATCACAATGGAATACGAGGATTTGGGCGGAAACAGGGATTATAGCAGGGATTATAGCGTGTACATGTGTGTTCGAGATGACGAGAGTTATAATGCAAAAAGGTTATTTGTCCTCACCTCTCTGAACCCGGAGGACAAGCTGCTTAGAGACTTGTCCGCCGCTTCTGATTGGTTCACGCCAGCTCAGACAGGATTGTCACAGCAGACAAAAAGACATGAGTGGAAAGACCAATTGGTGCACTGTTTAATCACTAGTATAGACCAGCTTCAGGAATTAACATAGATATAGATATATATATCTATATATGTGAGCATATCAGCATACAGCTGCCCCCCCACTAGAGTTATAGTTGTTAACAAATTCATACGTACAAAGAACTGTTCTGCTCATTATTGCATTATAGTGTGTTTGTAGATGAGGGGAACATGACGCGTTACGGTGACTAAATGGCTCAACCAGGGAGCGTTTTTTAACGAGTGAATACCGAGAGAAGAAGAGGAGGAGAATTAGGAGAGTAAGTGAGTGTGTTTGAAGGACAGGCCGGTCAGTTCAGTCCGCCGTGCTGTACTGCTGTGGTTTGGTCCGTACACACAGGGTGGTACGGTATAAATGCAGCTGTTCCGTGAGGGTGAACATCATATTACAGGCTCCTATTAAAGGCCAGCCTATAAAAAAACATTCCCATCCATCATGTCCGTTTGTCCTCCTCGACCTCACGCCTTCCATGCCTCCCCTTCATTTAGTCGTCCCTTCCTCTCCAGTCACCCCTCCTTCCATACATCCTCGTCTCCTTCCTGCCATGCATCCTTGTTCTCTACAGCATGCAAGGCATTAGCCACAATTAAAAAAGCATTTTAATGTTTCAATGAATGTAATTGCAGATATTACTATAATCCATGAAAAAGAAAATCTGATTTATTGGAGCTCTAACACAAGCCAAGTAAACGGGTGCCAGCTCTTTGAGTTTTTTTAGAATGAGTTGGTCTCCGTGTGTAAATGTGTTGTGCAACGCTGGTACAACAGGAAAAGCGTGCTGCGGCGTTACTTTCCAGTGCAAACTGTATTAAACTGACGTGTAACAACGAACCAAAAGTGAAAAGTGAAAGAGAAAAAAAAGCATGGAAGCTCTAAGGCCACCGTGATATCACAGCAGAAAGAAATGCTGCACCCATAGACACATGAAACACCAGTCGGGCTGCACATGTTGCCTCTGTTTCAGATTACAAACTAACAGGATCAGTGCATGAGCGCTACAAGCAGAGCCCGCTGTGCTCCCGTCAATTGTTCTCTGTGTACAAGGTGGAACAGAATACGCTGACTTCCTGTCACATGTGCAGTACGTGGCCACTGACGGCGGAGCGGCCTATTGTAACGACTTTAGAGAGTTAGAGGTGGAAGGAAGCAAAGGGTCTCCGTTCGTGTTCTTGGTTCGATGATTCTCTCTCTGTTTGTTGATCAATGTCGTTCAGTCTGCTGCTTCCCTGCCCAGCACGCCGAGCCGCCTCATCACGTGTAGCTAACTCGTCTTACCGGTCAGCTTTTGAGGGAGACTTCAGGGAAGTGACGCGTGATTGCGTCACGTGTGTGTGTGTGTGTGTACGTCAGGTGAAGGTGTGTATGGAGGCCGCTCTGAGGAGTTGGGTGTGGTCAGGATGGAAACCAAAAGAGAGAAAATCACAGAGGACACAGAGGGAGAGAGAGTGTGTGTGAGAGCATGTTGTGTGTGAAAAGGACTTGTGTGTGTTTGAAACCGAGTTGTTCCATGTGTTTTATATTAAGTGTGTATTTTGTTTATGGAGAAAGAGGGATCGATGGAGCGACCCAGCAGCTGTCATGTAAGTGTCTCTGCACCCTGTCAGGTTGTTACCGGAGCATTTTGTCCTTCGCTTTTGGAACTCGCTGGTGGGACTTCACTGACTAGTCAAGCACGTAATCATCTGTTAGTCTGGATAAGATGAAACGAATCACTCCCCCTGTCATTTGGTTTGAAGTGTTTTGCGTTCAATTTCTGTGACGGCTCCTAAAAATGTTTTAGGAGTCTGCATGTGTGGTCTATATGTAGTATTACTGATAAAAGTAGCAGAAGCAGTTGTAGAAGTAGTGAAAGTGTCAATAGTAATACAAGCAGTTGCATGGGATTTACTGCTATCATAAGAAAATACAACAATTGGCTTTAGCCTCAGCTGTGACTTTAGCTTTGGGACTGAGGTCCGTTGCTGTTGTTGTTTATTTGTAGCTGCTAGACCAGAGATTCCTCACCTGCGGGTTGTAAGATAAACCTGTAGCAGTAAATAGTAAGCGAATAGGAAACGTTCAGCATTTGCTCTCATCAAACCTGGATGAATGAAGACGAGCGTCACTTCATTGTTTCTTGTTTTCCATCGCAGTTCTCCAGAGATCAGTTCATCGTGGACTGCCCCTCAGAGAAGCTACGCAAAGAGCTGGAGGAAGAGCTGAAGATGAACTGCGAGGAGCCGAGGAGCCACGCTTGGTACCACGGAGCCATTCCCAGACAGGTAACACACACACACATACATCAGTCACGAGTCCCTCCCTGCACAAGCCTCGGTAAAAACTTGTTGAACCAGATCACCTGTTATTAGTCCGCCACACTGCACACACAGTGCCTACAGGGAGATTACAACTTAAATAGTGGCCTGGGTTAAACCATAAGGTCAGTGCATAGGAAGCTCTTTATATATATATGGTGTGTGTGTGTGTGTGTGTGTGTGTGTGTGTGTGTGTGTGTGTGTGTGAGAGAGAGAGAGAGAGAGAGAGAGAGAGATTGTATGTTCCCTCTGAAAGCTACACTGAGATGTAATCAGGTTTAATAAGCTGCTTCCTTTCGCTAGACTAAACTACCATTATATACTATACAAACACTTGCTTAATTAAAGTGTGTAACTGAGTGTAAAGGGCTTTATTGTGTGTGGGTGTGCGTGTCCATGTGTGTGCATGAGAGAGAGAGAAACAGGCAGCGCATTGAGCCCAGTGTGATAAACATTCACCTGCTTAATGAAAAATGTAATCTCTTGACGTTCTTCATCCCCAATTGATTGTAAATCAATTCAATCAAAATTACTGTAATATTTATGATCTACTTTTGTTTGACAATAACTGGACATAAAGAGTTATGTTTCCATGGAGCTTACTTCCATTACTGATCATTCATTGTTATGAACGTTCTCCATATCAGAATGCTTGTTTTATACGTCCAACACTTGACAAATATATTGAATTTACGTCAAATTTGTCTATCTAACGTGTTTTGTCAACCAACTGTTTCGGCTCTACTTGAATGCACTGATATTTACATGTTGGGTGTGGAATTCTAAAAAATGAAAACAGTACTTTGACAAAAAAGAAAAGACTAGAAAATATATTTATCACGGCATCAATATATAAATATATATTGTATGTACAATATATCCTTTAAAGTGAGTCAAAGGAACCATTTCACATATGAACGTTACATTTACGAAACATAAATGTATTGTGTTATTTTCTAAATTCTGCATGAGGTTGCGGCTTTAAATATCTTTTTGTCTCATGTAAGCTCCTAAAACCAGTCAGCACTGAGCTCATAAACAGTGCGACAGGCGTCCATTATTAGCTTTAATGAAATGTTTGGGCAGTGAACAAACGCGCCGTCCCTCCGTGTGATCTCCCGTGTTGCTGCAGGTCGCAGAATACTTGGTTCAGCGTGACGGAGACTTTCTGATCCGTGATTCGCTGTCCAGTCCAGGATGTTACGTTCTGACCTGCCAGTGGCGAAACGCCGCCCAGCACTTTAAAATCAACAAGAAGGTGAACCTAAAAACGAAACAAGCACTCGAGTTATCAGCAAAATGGCCAGAAGCAGCGGTGGTGAACCTGTCTCTGCGCTGCATCTCTCCTGCAGGTGGTGATGCTGAACGAAGCCTACTCCAGAGTCGAGTACCGGCTGGAGAGGGAAGGGTTCGACAACGTCCCCGCGCTCATACGATACTATGTCGGCAACAGAAAGTCGGTCTCCCAGGTGCGTTCGGTCAAATATTTTACACAATAACCACAATCATTCAATGGGGTCCTCGGCGAGAGACGGAGACGACGTGTCTTGTTTCACGCGGCGTTTTCTGCGTCTTAGGTGGTGGGGGCCATCATCTTCCAGCCGATCAACAGGGGGCTGCCGCTCCGCTGCTTGGAGGAAAAGTACGGCCTGTCCAGCCACCGCCGGGACGCGCTCATGGCGCAGGAGAGGCGCAGCCGGAAGCGCCTCAGCCTCAACGTCACCAACGGACACGCGCAGGACGACGCGCGAGGCGCGCAGAACGGCGCGCGAGGCCGGGGCGACGGCGGGAGCCCAAGCAGCCAGCTCAGGTCGGCACACCGGCGGGGAAACAGACGCACGCGGATTCCCGCCAGATGACGCGTGCAGAGTTTGCAGTTTCTAGACAAACGCATACTGAGAATGTGTAACTGATTTAACAAAGCAAAAGCAAGCATGCGGAATATGGAAACCCTCCTTTACTCAGTCGTTCTCTCTCACACTCGTGTATTCTGACTCTATAATGTATTTGATTAATATTTCAACGGTGACCCTCTTTTTGGGCTCAGGTTCAAGGATCGCTGTGGCAGCCAACCAGCGAGTCTCAATCAGGTGCCCGAGAGGCGACGGCCGCTCCAGGCGCACCAGTCAGAAAGCTACCTGCCTCTCGGTAAGTGAAAGAGAGACACGCGGAAGGTGTGCGCTGCCGTGAGTTATCGCAGGCAGACGTCCGTCTTCTCCCCCGCCCTTTGAAAGAGATTATGGCGATTCTTTTAGGCGGCATAGAAGCGCGCCGTGAACAATTCATTCCATGCGTAACATCTGAAAGTTTAAAAAGCTCAACTCATTCTCATTCTTCCTCTTTTTGCTTTTCGGTTTAACATATTCTGATGATGTGCATGTCGTCTTTCCCCTTTCATTCTAATCTCTTCTTTCTTTAACAACGTCTTCTGTCGGCTGCTCGTATCGCCAGGATCCAAACCACAGCGCTCCCCTGATCCTCTCCTCCCGAGCCCGAGCCCCAAGTCTCCTGTCTTCCGGACGGGCAGTGAGCCGGTGCTGAGCCCCTCGGTCCCTCGGAGACCTGCGGAGCTTCTGGCAGGTGAGCGGATCTGAACCCACAACCTGAAGAGCATCTGAGGACCTTGTATTCATACGCTGCGCAGTAACCATATTATTCATATTATCCACAAAGAAGATTCTCTCAAATTGCTGAATGTGAAGCTCATTGTCACATCCTTCGGCCCACGCAAGTCAGTTTGTGTTCATTATCAGATTGAGCGCTTTTCATTTACACAAAGGTGTTGTACTGTGTGCTTCGCAAAAAAAAGGTGCAAAATACGCTAATAGTAATAATGATGATGACAACCCTTGTTGCATATTGATGTCGGAAAGGAAAGATCAACAGTTTTGTTGCCTCTGTTTTAAAATGTATAAAGCAACAGTACTTTTATTTTCTTAAAACTCACACAACTCTGTGGGTTTGGGCACTTTCCGTATTTGCTCCTAGCATTGTTTGCATGCAAATGCGGAAATTAAATTTAAAGCAAAGTAAACCAAAGGCAAACTGTGGTCTTATACAGTTCACTGCCCCAGAATGTGATTTGTCTTTAAGACGCAAAGGGAACTACGACATTTGCCGCTTCGATTCAGTTCTGGGAATAAACGCCACATTGGCGCGTGTGCACAGGCCAGGCCATCCGGGGCTCCGACAGCCAGCTGTGTCCCAAACCGCCCCCCAAACCCAGCAAGGTGCCGCTGGCTCGGCTGCGTCGCTCCCCCTGCCTTCAGCCTCCGGCTCCTCCCCCCGGCGCCCCCGGCCTCACACACGCGACCTCCGGGTCAAATGCACCTGCGCTCGCCTCCGCCTGCGTGCAGACTCTCGCTTCGCCACGGAGCAGTGAAGGTACTTTTTTTTTTTTTATGGAAATCATGTTTAAAACAGTATCAAGAAATATGAATGAGTTTTGACGAAGAGATACACAAAACGTGTACACAAATTTTATTGGTAGTTAAGTTGCACATTGTTGGTGGTGATCAGGAAGCGTCCTCTTGACTTAAACTGTAGCGTAGAGGACAGTAACTGTAACTCACTAATTACAGCAGTATTGCTGTAATATAAATTGTAACGTATCTCTGCAGCTCGTATTTTTAAGAAAAAAGCTGCTTTCGGACCAATTTCATTGCTTTGGATGGTCATATTCTACTGTAATAACTGCATTATGTTAATGTAGGTATGATTCACCAGATTGAAGATCTAGTGTAAATGTGCTGTCTCACTTTTAAATTCCTGAAGGAATTAACAGTGAGATCGTTTATTCAGCCAGCGCAGGCCCTCCTGTCCCTCCAGTCAAACCCCTCAAGTTCCTCCATCAGCTCCGCCCCGAAGACACTCGCGGATTCTCCACTTCTGCACTTTCACCCACCGAAAATGTTCGCGGTTCTGAATCAGAAGAAAACGCAGGACGGACTGATCGGCTGCAGCCGAGCCCGTCGGACCTGAGGTCTCGCAGCCCGCTCGAGTGGCGGGGATCTAATCCCCTTCATCCCGCCACAGATGTGGAAACGCTGCCCCCACTCTGCAGCCACGTGGAGCGACTGAGGAGAGAAGGGGAGGCAGGGAGAGAGGAGGAGGAGGAGGAGGAGGCGGCTGGAGGGAGTAAAGGACTGGACAGAAGCTCTTACCATCACGCCATCGCGGCCTTAGAAAACACCAGCGAGGAAGAGGGGGAGGAGGAGGAGGAGGAGGAGGAGGAAGGGGAGGACGGGGAGGACAAGAGGAGCCGCTTCCAGCGGCCGGTGGAAGAGACGGAGTCGGCGTTCCAGCCGGCGCAGTTCGGGTCTCGACTTCTGCCGCCGGAGAACAAGCCGCTGGAGACTGTGGTCCTGAAGAGAGCCAAGGAGCTGCTGCTCAGCCACGATCACCACAGCATCGCCCGACACCTGCTGCTGGCCGACTGCCAGGTACCCGCACCGCCACCGGAAAACCCAAATGAGGTTTTTCACAACTTTAACTGTAATAACATGTCATTTGCATAATAACAAAAGATTTTTTTAAAACGTTGCTAGACAAAATTAGTTTGTGTCACTAGTGGTAATCCGAACTATCAAGAAAACAAATAACCATCAATGAAGCCGTTATTCACAATATCAAAGAGCAACTCAATAAAACCTGTTCTACAGACGTAGAGCGTGTGTCCAGGTGTTGTTTACTCGTGCTGTTCCTCCACAAAATCAGATTTATATCTTACAAGTGATGCAACAAAACGCTCCTTGTGACGCAGAAGAATCACTCACAAACAAAACAACCCTGAGAGAAGCACAATATTACACCATATCGACACACACACACACACAATGGATGGAAAGAATAAGGGAGGAAAATAAAACTTAAGAAAATATATATAACTAAATCTAATTCATGGCCATTTGTAAACCTTTGTCTTCCAGGTTGCGAGGACAGTCGGAGTGACTCCAGAGGTTAAAGGTCAGATGGGCGTGTCATCTGGTCTGGAGCTGGTGACGCTTCCGCACGGTCGGCAGCTGAGGCTGGACCTGATGGAAAGGTACACAACATATACACACACACACACACACACACACACAAACAGTAACACCTTTCCAGGCAGTGTTAGTTCTTAAAAAGGACTTTGACTTTTGTCATATGTATATATATATTTATATTTCTTTAAGACCTCTAAATTATCTTACTTGATTTAACCAAATCTGACACACCAATCTGCACAAACACTCATTCCTGAGATGGTGTTGAAAGTCATTGTCTCCTCCGTCTGCAAGGCACCACACCATGGCGATAGGCGTTGCCGTGGACATTCTGGGTTGCACGGGCAGCGTGGACGAGCGTGCGTCCACCTTAAATCGCATTATTCTGGTGGCGTTGGAGCTGAAGGACGCGGTGGGCGACCTGTTCGCTTTCACGGCCTTGATGAAAGCTTTGGACCTGCCGCAGGTGACAGACACACAAACAGAAATATTGTTTTTACAAAATAAACATGTTTCCTCCATAACGTGTCAGAAATGTTTTCTTCCAATAATAATCAGCCTTTTGAGTGTCATCTGTTTGATATTTGCATGCGTCATTCTGACTGCATGGACGCATGCAACAGCTGATGTGAAGAATTGGATTGTTTGATGGTAGTTTGAGACCGCTGGTGTTTGTTGTTCTCTGCAGATCAGCCGCTTGGAGGAAACGTGGACGACTCTACGAAGGACCTACACGCAGACCGCCATCAGCTACGAGAAGACTCTCAAACCCTTCTACAAGAATCTGTATGAGGGCACAGGTATTGAATGCAAACGTGTTTTGAGTTTTTAAAACCATCAGCACGCGGACCCTCGCGGCCTTTAGGATCCACACGACGGTTTACGGATTTAACTCCCATAGTGACAGAAGCTTCTGGCCTGTGACGGCCCTCCTCTTCCTCCTCCAGCTTCCTCCCCTGCGGTGGTCTGCGTCCCCCTCCTGCTGCCCCTCCTCACTTTGATGGAGCGTCCGTCGATCACGCCCGAGGGGGCGGAGCTGTGGGAGACCAGCGACCAGGGCTGTGACATCATGCTGCGCCACCTGGAAGACGCACGCGACGTCGCGCACAACGCACAGCGCTACACCATCAACTCCCAGATGATCTTAGAAGGTAAGAAGATGTCTTCCAGAGGGACAATGCCAGCCTCATTGTCATTTATCAGACGGGTGGCAGGACGTAAGCGCTGTGTCTGTCCTCAGGGTTCCCGTGCGATGAAGACCTGTTGGAGGTGTTTAAAACGGACTTCCAGCTGCGGCTGCTTTGGGGAAGCCGCGGAGCGTCGGTCAACCAATCAGATCGCTACAACAAATTCAACCTCATCCTAACCGCGTTGTCACGGAAACTGGAGCCCCCGCCCAACACACAGATCGTAATCTGACGTCATCCGCTCGCATTGGACTTGGGTAGAACGTCAGATGGGTCGGAAACAATCCTTCAATAAACTGTAACGAGGTGCGGCGTTTTAGTGACGGGACGACCTGCTTCAAAATCAAACTTCTCAGCAACCAGCTGTCCACAATCTTCCCTTTTCTCCAAATGCCTGTTTGGTTCCGGACTTCAGAACTATTTCATTTTTTCACATTCATTCTCCTCTGCAGTCGAACATCTTTCCAGAGCTCAAAAGCATCGACGTCCAGCAGAACTTAACACAATGAAAGTTTATTTAGAATGCACATTACGCACAATTAACAGCTTATGTATAACATTAGACAACTATGAGGCGTCAGGTGGAAAAACACCAAATGTGAATGAAACCAGATTTTACTTTACTCAAGTATGCAGTATCTACAGTTCAATAAATTATTATATGTTTTGGTGGCATAAATCCTCCAAATAAATGGTGAACAGTACTTTGTCAGTTAAACCAACAATGAACTTTGTGAAGGAAGTGAAGTATTTGTGTGAGAACAGAGCAGACGAGAGGCTTAAAGGGAGACAATTACAAATGTTGCTTTTCCTTTAAAAGGCACGTGATTTGTTTGTACTCTGACATTCCAGTTAATGGAGAACACAGTTCTACATTTAGAGTAATAATGGAAAACACACTTTAGCTCTATATGTCTGACGAGAACATTAGAAACTAAATGTAAGGATATACCGTAATGTACTTTGTATTTATTCCGGGTAATTAAGCATTGCGATACAAACTAAAAGAGTTTGGTTACAGTATGTAAACTGAAATCCACCTTCAACACCGTGACGTGTATTAAAATGTACAATGTCCACAAGGTGTTTTTTCCCAAAACATCAGATGACAAAGACGAACTCAAGTAAACTTTTTTTATTTTGTGTAAATGTGATAATGATATTTGGGTTTATGCATAAACCTGAAATGACAAAAAGTTGGTTAACATGTGTGGGACTAAAATTGTACATATATATAATATTAGCATGTTAATACTGGACTGTACATATTTTCTGTAGATGACTGACTGAAAAAAATAGAAGTTAGTGATTTTATTATTTTTAACTACTGTTGTGAGAATGAATAAATATGGTGCAGTCTGACGAGGTCCAATGGCTATAAATTAAATCACATTTTACTTAAACTTTATGCAGTACAGACTAATAAACTATATGTCTGCCAGGTATTATTTGAGGTGAAGATCCCATCAGAAAACAAATCCACTCTTCAATGCAGTTTAATTTTATTAGACAGTATTTTGGAAGAAAAAGAAAATCAAAGTGTCTGACAACATTTAAAGTAAAAGATGTGCACAAAATAGAAAGAAGTACTGCCATTGGTTATTACAACATATACACATGATAAAAACACATTTACATGGACGTCAGTGTCCTGCAGAATCACGGTTTGCATTCACTGCAGTTAGTCAGTACACCATCCGTTTCCACGCAAAATAAAATCTTCAGAAAACGAGCTTGAAACGAGAGGAATGGATCAGAGGAAGCGGGGGATGATTAACGCTCCACTTAGCTTGGCACGTTTCAGTAAAGAAGTTATAATTCTACAAGAACTTCATCTTATTCAACATCTGAAAGCCGCTTTGTTATCGGTTGTTACATAATATTCAGGAATGCAGCACGGTGGCTGTTATAATACTTGCTAACAGTTTTTATACATGTATATTAATAATACATTGTAACCGTTGATGGGACTTTTGGAAAGTTTTGCTCATTCCAAAATTGCTGCTTACCACTGATATCGATTTTGTGATTAAAGGGACAGTACACAGGAAATCTGAGAGGATTATGAAACATTTGAAGTGTACGGTTTACATAAATGTGGGATCAGAGGATCCTCATCTCCACTACGGATGCATTGTTTATGTCTAAATGCATGTTTACAGTTATAGGCAACGGTTCTGGATTTAGTGCAAACTGTTGCGAGCTCTTTTTTCTATTAGTCATTTAGCAAAAACTAAAAATCTCAAAGACGCTGCCTTTCTCCCGTCAACATAAATTAAATAGGTTTGGGTTTTGGACTTTTAGAACAAAACCAACACTGGAAGACATCGGCTGACTTTTGAATAGGCATTATTTACTATTTCACTTGAAATATTTTAGACTAAACAAGTAAAAATAATGAAAAGAAGGAATAGTCACAGCCACGGTTAACCAGTGTGATTGTATTACCAGTCGAACAAAACGAATCGAATATGCAATACTAAACTGCAAACGTCGTATATCCTAGTTTATCTTTCAGAAAAGTATAAAGTTTCAGTCTGATTTTAGGAATCAGGCACGCTAGCAGCTGCAGTTTAACTTCAAAACAAATGTGTAGAAAAAGAAAAAAAAAGACAAAGCACTGATGGATCCGGTTTGCAAAGGCATCACAAAAAAGAAAAAAACAGAATACAGAAACAGGCCACTTTCACAAATAAGCCTTTTCCCTTCCTTGCAGAGCTACAGTAGATCACGATTGACGCCATTCTCACGTCTGTGCTGCAGTTGCAGCAGGTTAGCTTAGCATAACTGGACAGAGCTGGCCAGGGTTCTTTGTTTATTCCGTACAATATGCAAAAATATCAAGTGGCAGAGGGCAAACTTCGCTCAACGTTTAACCATTTGGCTGATGCAAAACGAGCACAGATCCGTGAGTAGAATGTGGAGAAGCGTAACCAAAGTTCAAGTAACAACACCGACAGCATCGCCCTGTACATTTCACAGCTTCACCGAAGAAACACTGACTACAGCTGAGGCGTCGACACCGGCTGTTAAGATCTACAAGCAGCGAGTCATTGGGGCATTCTTGTCTTAAATAGTTTCAAAAGGGGAGTCAAACCTCACTTCAGATGTGCAGTTTTGTTAGACTCTTGAAAAAAAAAAATCAGTAAATGGTTAAACGCTCACCAGAGAAAAAAGGAAGTCAAAGAATTCAAAAATTCATGCAAAATAGAAGTTGATCATCGCCTCCCGAGAGTTACAAAAAGAGTATAAAAGTCAAGAAAGAAAAAATGGCTAGACTTGTTTCTGTTTCTCGCTGCTACACAGTGGTCATTTATAAAGTTCACACCTCTCTCCACAACACAGAACCTCATTCATTTACTCTTTACTCTCCATTTAATCAGATTCAAACGCTGAAGAACTTCAGGGCAAAGTGCATCAGTTCAATTCAAACCTAAAAACAATCACCATGGAAACACATTCAGCATGACATTAAACATTATGTAAAAATCATTCAATGTTAAAAACAACCGTCACACATGTAACAGTCCACACATGTTTGCAGATCAATTGTTACCAAGGGCCAAACAGGCCAAAATTCTTTATTTTTGGCCTGTTTTTGTTTTTTTTTCAATATTTTTTGGGGGGCGTGTTTAGGCTCCCGCATACGTGTGTGGATACATGCCTACATGCCGTGTTGTCACATTCACAAAAACAACTGATTCAAATTGGAAAAGTCTTTTTTTGATGGAGATGCACTGGAGTGTCACCAGGAGGGTGAGGCTGAGCCAGGTGGCTGCTGGGAGATGTAGTCAGGCACAAGGACAGACACTCAGATATGTGTGTGAAAGTCAAACAACACGGGGTTCAAGGCAAAGTCTGACTCCAAAAGACGCCGCCGCTCCTCCTCATGTTTTGGTGGAATTAAAAGCAGCTCAGTCCGGCCTGAGCTGCTTTCAGGTGAGGGAAGGCTGCCGCCTGCTGGTCAACTGGTGGTATTACAACCCGGGAAGAACAGAGGAAATGTGGAGAAAGAAAGAGGAAGAGGGGGGTCCTGTTCACCCGATCGTCGGTCTATCTGTTTAATGAGTAAATCTGAGTAGCATTAAACGCACACACACACACTCATGCCTCCATTAAAATGTGACACAGCACTCAAAGCGCATCCCAGCCAATGTGCACTTGCAGTTAAAGGCACAGATATAAAAAAGGCCTACTCGTGGACATGCGACTGTATGAAGGTGAAGGCAGGCATGAGGAGCAGAGTGGCTCAGGCAGGCAGGCAGACAGACATCACCAACAGAGCACAGACGATGACGATGACAAACGAGTGCAGCAATGACATCAGATATAAGATAACTGCCCGAAAGATGATTTTATCTTAAATTTGAGGGTCCATTCTCCGACTAAAAATCAGCTCATCACCAAAGTTACTGATTCTGTATTTCCAGAAATTAAGCCAAAACAACACCAGCAGTTTCACTGCTAAAACGCTCCGTTAGCCAATTAGTGAGGTCCTAGCAGGCTCTTTTTATGGTAAAAAAAACAAACAAAAAGAGCAGAGGGATTTGACCACGTCAAGCTTTTAACAGCTTGAAGATACGCTTGCAGGTCCCAGTCCTCTAATGGCCGACACTTTTGAAACAATAACAGCGGCTTTTCTTTGGCTTTAAGGCCACTTGCTCACCGGGCTTCTTCTATTAACACAGAATGCTTTGCCGTTTATGGATATGTGAGCATGCGGACATGCAAACCGGCCTCCACTTTCTCTCTCTCTCTCGCCCCCTATTACTCTCTCTCTCTAGTGTCACCACCACCACCACCAATAATCAGCAATCAGCGTGAGCCCTCCACCAGCCAATCAAATCGCCCGGCCACCCTGCAGCCCTCAGGAACCTGCAGTCACATAGAGAAGAGAGGAAGTTACTACGACACACACGAGGGGCTGCAGCTAGCGCTCGTACACAGACACACAAACTAAAGTCCGTTTGTGTTTCAATAGCACTTGAACAAAAAAAACGTTCATTTTGGGGAGACCGACAATGCGCTGGGCTTTTGAAGACAATAGTCTTCCGTTCTGCCATGAGAGCGATCACGACGAGGTAGAGGATAGATGGAAAGAAATAAATTATATTACTTTAATATTAGTCAGCCTCCCCTTCGAATGCATAAGAACTGCTGATGTGATGATGCCAGCAGCATGTTCTGATACGCAGTATTCTGCACCTTTGTTTGTACTGCGAGGCGTTGGCTGCAGTGACACCAGTTCAAACGGGACGTTGTTGGGACATTGAGCAGCAGAGGATCAACAGTGAGCGATAACATTAAATACGTGATTTATCAGAGACAATGAAAGGAACTATTAGTACACCCTCTACAACCGAAGTGAAAGCATCATTACGCTGCACACTTCCCTAATCTCTCAACTGGAGGTTTCAAAAATGGCTGGAATAGTTTACCATAGGAAAAATAAAAACTGAATTGATCCCACTATCAAGTATCTGTGCGAGTCGGAGAGAGTGAATTTGGAGTTTAAATATAATTGCAAAATCAATTACACTTAAAAAGTTTTATTTCCATATTTTTGCAGTGCACTTTACAGTAAAGAGTTCAGGAGTCGTTAGTTAGTGTTTTGTGTGATAAGATTTGCATCTGCAGTAGGAACCAACAGGCTCGACAGGGTGGGTTCTGCTTCATGAATGATATTGTTTGGCAATAATTAAAAATAAAGAACAACGGCCCTGGTCCTTTAAAACTACCAGCTGTGCTCTGAAAGTACAACCAGCATGTTTAGGGCGATGGCACAGATAAAAGTCATGTACACACACGCACGCATGAAAACACAGCAATGAGAGCAAAACAACAGATAAAATCAGAACATCTTTAAATGATATCGACACAAGAATCTAAAAAGATCTTGAAATAATTTTAAAATGTTTCCAAATTAAAAAAAAGAAACGTATAATTAACAATAATTAAAAATAAACTGTTTCTAATATATTACATAGAACTTGATCAATAAGAAGCGGCGGAGCCTTGACAAGAGGCTTAAAACAGCAGTGGAGACATTGTTAACACACACACACACACACACACACACACACACACACACACACACACACGCACACACACACACACACACACACACACACACACACACACACACACACACACACACACACACACACACACACACACACACAGGTCTCTGTGCTCAGAGACTCACCTCAGGACCATCAGTGCCACAGACACGAGAGAGGACGAATGAATGCAGGGTTAGACACAAGGAGGACGGAGAGACGGGATGGAAATCAGAAAACAGATGAATGTCCATGCGGGTGTTGAGATGCTGCCTTTTTTTCCTCTTTGTAGGGTTACTTTGTATGTGGAGGGGAGAGGGGGTGGGGGGGGGGGGCAGGGAGGACAGTGGGGGAGACAGACGGGATGAGAGGACAGACCACAGTGCTTCAGATGTAGGTGACAGCACCTTTGCTGTTCCTCTCCATGGTGATTTCCACGTAGGACGTGGGGACGTAGCCCTCCCCTCCGTTCTGCTTCCTCGCCCTCGTCCAGCCGTCCCCTTTGTCCTCCTCGATGACGTACAACACCTGCGGAGGAAACGCAAACAAGCTGCTCTTTAAAACGAGCCCGACGGGTTTCCGGCCAGCAGGTCGTTGAAGTTACCAAAGCCGGCATTACCTCGTCTTCTGCCATCACCAGGGTGCCCTCGTTCTGACCTGCGGGTCAAACCAAACCACAGCGCCGTCACTCATCGGCCGCTTCCCACCTGCGCCACAACCTAACAACACCCGCCGAGCTCCTTTTGTTACAGCGCATCGCTCGGGGCCGCTTGTTCTCACCGTCGAAGGAGTAGAGCGCTTTGCAGTGTCCGATGACGGGCAGCGGGTCGTCGTCGTCGAACTCGTCGTCAAACTCGTGCATGTCGGGGTGCGGCTGCCCGGGCTTCGGGGGACTGGGCCGCTGTTGGGGCGTTTGGTGTTCCTGACTGGTGTCGTCGGTGTAACTGCCCTCAGGACTGAAACAGGGAGGGTGAGAGAGTCTGATGTTTACACGGTTCAGATAGTTAAAAGAAATCTCTGGTAAACGGCACCACTGGATAACTACATATATATAAATAAATAAAAAAGGATGGCACCTTCTTATGATGTGGAAATGTGTACTTCTATAAATGTGGAATGCAAACACATTCGATATTGAGGTGCAGAATAGCTTGCAATACTTTATTTTGATAGGTCTGTCAATGTAAAATAACTTTCCCAAGAGGCCCAAAAAAGTATTTGGCAGGTGGGAGGCAATTTAAAGCAAAGGAATGAATTCCCTATGAATCATTAATCATTGGAAACTTGTTGAAACGTATTAACAAATCTCTAATTCAGATACGATTAGCGGCTGTGCATCACTAAAAACGATACTGGAAACCTTTCCAATAAAGAATGATGGAATTCATTGTTTGAATAAGCTAAACGGTGTTACTCAAATGCAGAAGACGACGAAGCATCTAAAGCCAGCGAGGGCCTTTTTTGTGTTTTCATACCCTTTAACAATAGTTTGTAAAGACAAAACGTCATGGCTCGTACTAATTACTGAAGTGATTGACTCTCAGCATGTCATTCATAAATAACTAATCTCTAAAGGTTGAGCATGCATTTTGGGTTGTTTGACCAGCAGCTTACCTCTCTCTGCCTATGGGAGTGTGATGGTGGTTGTCAGCGCTGTGTCTTCTGTCCCCTCTGGAGCTCTGCTTTCCCTCCACCTCCGATAGCCAAGTCTGTCAACCCCGAGGGAGAGAGGAAAGTGTCGGTATGCATGTTTTACAATCCCCCCTACAATCGCTCCTTCATTCACACCAAAACCGTCATTACGTACCTCGTTTTTGTGGATTTCCGACCGCAGCTTCTCCATGTTGCACATTGTCTCCGATATCTTGGGCTGCAGGCTGGTGGGATCTCCCATCTGTGGATTCTTCTCGTACACGTCCTTCATCTTGTTCAGGGCATCTCTGAAAGACGCAGAACAAACACGCAGCGGTTATGGGACGGACGAGCGATAACAAGAAGATCCTGGGTCAAAATCGAGGAACAACATAAGCGCATCCACGCTGGGTTCGCGCGCTCGGAATCGGATTCTTCTGGATAGGCGTTGATTAGTGTGACCGCACGAGGAATGAAGGGTGAGGCCCAACCTTTGATCGATCTCTTTCTGGAGCTCTCTGGAGAGCTCGTCGATCCTCTGCTGCAGCCTCTTCCTCCTCTGCTCGGGGGGTAAGTGGCTGAAATCCTCCAGAGACGGGGCCTGGTGGTGAAAAACCAACTCATAATGAAAGGTGGAGGCATGACCGCGGGAACGACAGAATAAAGGTTAATCCATTAGGTTTCCTGAGCTGCCTCCACAGAACAAGCCATGAAAATAAGCAGCCTAAATCTGCATGCAGTTGTTGCACACAGAGTTCATCTAAAGTAATAGCTAATAAAAAGAAACATAATCACGACATAAATCACATTCTTCTTGAAAAAAAAGACTGCTTTTGAAGGTCGAAAGTTGCTTTCTTTGACTCTTTTGTAACTGAGCAGATAAACTGTGCAGTAGGTGACATTCAATATAATGGACTAAAACTAAAACAAAAATAATGAGAATTATGTTGGTTAAAATAAATATATTACCTAAGTGATGATACATGCATGTCCACCTACACTGCTGTGGCTCCTCATCACTACTCTACACTTGCAAAGCCACACATACACACACACACTTACCATCTTGACCGACCACTGACGCGTTAACCGTTACAACAAAGAGACAAACAACACGGGATGCTGGTTAGTCGTCAGAGTGTCAAACTACCACCAACAGGCCAGTTGCTGGAGCATGGAAACCAGTCAGAAGTCCCAGAAGATGAATCTCCATGACAACATCAAAATTGACCACCAGGGGGCTAGTAGGAATATTCTTCACTAGTTCATGTTATTATAATAACAACAACAACAACAATTTTGTGCATATGAACTGTTCAATATTGATACTAGCCTGCTGGTGTACAATAATAATCACGAGGGAGGTTTTCTTTTGCAGGGAGGCAGCATTTTGTCAATTAACTAGAACTCAATACTAATAATCCTAATTGAAAGGGTGACGGATCATTGCAGAATAATGATTCCTTTTAAATAAGTTCAAAGACATAGATCCAATCCTCTTCCTGTCTGGAAAACATCCCCCTTAATGAGGTGATACTCCATAAGCACGAGATACATTAGTCACTGCAAACTCCGGCCAACAGCTGAGCAACACACCTGATGTGAAACACATTATTCAGCCCCCATTTCCCCTCAAAGCGCTGCAACCAGAAGGTTGAAAAAACAACTCCAAATGCCGCACGCGCACACACACACACACACACACACACACACACACACACCAACTATCAACAAGGAGCCTCCATCTTGTGATTGAAGCAGAAGTCTGTTCAGGAATGAAAGGAGAGAAGCACACAAAAACAAAAGAAATGCAGGGAATAAGAAGTGGAAGGTCAAAAGATCCAAGAGGGGGAAGAACAGGACAGAAATGAATGATAGAAAAGCTACATGGGGCCTGCAAGTTCCATCGATTTACAATTCAACATACGTTGAAATCAGACCTCTGACTAGAAAAACAACTACAAACTGGCTTTGAGTTTAAAAAAAACAACATATTTTTGGGAAATTGGAGACACCCTGTAGAAGAAATAAAAACCCCAAATCCATATCAACCTGTCAATCAGACACACTGCGACGCTACATCCTGCCTCACCCCTCTTCTCGGGCCCTTCTTCTGGGTTATTCTGGGTACTGTAGTCTTTTTCTCAGCAAGATAGTTGCTCACTAAATCAGTGCTGAACCGGGGTGGAGGGAAGGAGGACCGGGAACGGGAGGAGGATGAGGATGAGGAAGGTGGTGGAGGAGGAAGGGAGGAAGGGGACTGGTGGGGAGCAAGAAGAGGACAAAGCCACAGGTCAGGACGGCACATTCTTCATCACGGACACAGAGATTATTCACGGGATTCAGATGGAGTGATGAACCTGTCTCAAGCATGACTCGTGCGGGACTTTTCCTCTATTGTGGTGCGTGTGTGTGTGTGTGTGTGTGTGTGTGTGTGTGTTCCGACAGGAAGTCAGAGAATTCATTAAAGGCTGAAGAAGTATTTTCTCAAACAGCGTCTTAGAACGTCTTCACTTGAACACAGTATTTCCTGACACTTCATGTCATTTTACATGACTTATTGCCACTGGTTGGAAGGTGGACGGGGTTCCGCTGGCTAGCAAAGGTCGAGGCACAAAAAAAAAATACATTATTAACACACAAATCAGGACCCAGTTATATTTCCATCCACAAAAATAAATGGTTGACGACTAAAAATTAATATATAAAGGACTTCTTTTAAACATGACACTTCAAAAAATCTTACTTGTTGAAAACCGTAACCGACCCAAAGACACAAACGCACACCTTGTGCATCACACGAGCTCCCTGCTACACCGAGGCAGCTGATGACGCCATCATAAACCAACAGCGGCGATAATGATTAACCAACGTGGGCTTTATGGAGGGGGGCAAAGTCCAAGAAGTGTGTCGGAGAAACGATTTCAGAGCATTGTTGCAAACTCTGGAAAGGGAACAAAAAAACTCCAACTCCAGATGACAAAACCACAGAGGAGCCGAGAGAGTAATAAAAACACGTGCTTAGCGTGTGACCGGCAGCGTGAAGCTCACATCCAGCTGCAGGGTCGTGAACTACTACTGGAGCACTGACTATTATGAGCCTGTGAGGAAGTGACCACGAGGATTTTTCTCAAATGACACTAATAACTCGGTGAATCATCAACCAGCAACATTTTACAAAAGACGGCCCTTGTTTTAAAAAAACGGATAACAAGAAGAGGCCCTGTGCATGAAATCTATTCCTGAAGACCATGTTTTTAAAGGCAGTGACTCTCAAAGGATCTACTGGTTGGTCATTGTAAGAAAGACAGCTGACAAGTGCCGTTTAAACACAAATCAATAAACACATGATTATTGTGTTTATTGATAGCTTTCCAGAAGAGGTTGCAGTTTATAGAAGGAAACTCCAGTTTCTATTCAGTTAAAAAAAAGGTTTGCAAAAGAATTGTTGCAGTGATGCTACCAGCAAACAACTTCAGACTCATTTCTGTCTCTGATTTATTTTTGCGGCACGTCTGTTCGGTATAAATGAAAACAACCACCCAAACATGATGTGTGCCCTTCAATCGCCGTACCTTGGGCTTCTTCCCAAACAGCCACAGCTTGTTCTTGGTTCTGCTCATCGGGTGTTTCGGGTCGGTTCGTGACGGCGGGGGCCCCTCCCTGTCCCGGTCTCCTTTGGGCGTGTTGCTGATTGTCCCGTCGGACCCCGTTCGGCTCAGATTCTGGCTGAAGTCCTCAAAGGGGAAGTCGCCCGGGGGTTCGAAACCCGACTTGAACGACTCCACCACGATCGCTGAATCCTGGGGAGGTGGATGACGGCAGCAGATGAGCGGTGGGGGACGAGAAAGAAGGACGTTCCCCGCCCCGCTTACATCCACCTGGACTCCACCTACCCGTCGCATGTCCACAGCCTTGGCAGCGGAAACCATTCCTTCCAGACATTTGGAGATGATGGGGAGGACTCTCCGCTCGGCCTCGGCGAAGCTCCGGTACGTCTCTCCGAGCTTCACCGTCCGACGATCGTCCATGTCCTGCAAGTTCTGTAACAGGGAGCAGAGGAATTGGAATAAACGGCAAAAAGTGCTCGAACGGACACAAGTCCCGCCCGTCAAACATGGCGGTGACGCTGCAGTTTAGCACGTCTGCTCTACCTTGAAGATGTGCGGTATGGCGTTGTTGAAATGTTTCCACTGCTCGCCGTTGAAGTTCTGCAGCTGGGCGGCGTACTCGTTCTTACTCTCGTCGGCCATGTGGGTGCGCAGGTAGAACTGGGCCTTGGCCTGAGCGGTCACATGAACACGAGCCACAGAAGCGTGAGCTGAAGCCCCGACGGCTCCTTTGTTGGTCCAACGTGAGCGCGCGCCCAGGAAACCGATAATACGCTTCTCCCCTTTGATGCAACGAGGTGTTTTAGTAGACATCAGCTGGGTTCTACAGCGGAAACCCCACATACGTAAAAGAATACATGGTTCTACTACCCGGAACCCTCTCAATCGAGTTTTACAAACGTAGAACTACTGCAAAATTTAAAATGGGCATTTTCTTTTCCGATTACATCCGCTGAGGATTACGTTTTCGCTTTGTTGCTACTTTGAAAAACTCCAGGCTGGATTTTCCTGAAACGGAGACGTTTTGTGGGACGAGGAGGGACCCGTTCCATTTTGGAGCAGATCAGAATCACTGGGCGAAAACACACATATTATTTTTCACTTTTGTTAACAGAGAAATGCCGCACTTGGCCTTTGGCAGAGGTCTGTGTGCTCTGTGTACCCTTCTGGTTTCCATAGTTTACAGTTAAAAACAGTTTTTAGACAGTACCTCATCTAAAAACAAGGCTTAGCGGGCAGTATTTTTACCCTCAATTAGGAAAGGCTTATTTATCCACGTAGTCTTACGTAGTCTTAATTATACAGTGAGTGTTGGGGTGGAAAAGGGAGCGGCAGTAAAACTTCATAGGCATCAATTATACACTACCAACTTTAAGAAAAACAAAATATGAGAAACTTATTTGGTTATTATAAAAAAAAGAAAATGTTGGTCATGTGCACACTGAAGGGTCAAAGTGAACAAACTGGTATTTTCCCTGACAATAAAAGAAAGGAGAAGCTGGCTCACAGACTGACTCATTTACAGCAGTTCCTTTGAAAAGGTGGGAACGTCCTACCTTCTCCACCTCCGATTTGGTGGCATTGATGTCATTATCTAACCGATCGAAGGTGATCTGGGATTTCTCTGCTTCTTTACACTCTCTCTCAAACTTCCTTTTACTCTGAAAGACAGACAGACAGAAAAAGAAAGAAAGCCTGATGTCAAAAACATCAATTACCACAAATAATACACGGCATAACCTCTTCGTTGTGATGCACCGTCTCGCTGTCTGGTCATTCATCCCTCAGTAAATCAAACTAAAAGAAATGAGTGTTTAGAGAAAAAGCCAAAGGGAGATGAATCATGCTTCCTGCCAGCCCATCTGGGTCACATTAGTTGTGAAGGAAGCGGAGTGAATAGCTGAGACATTACAGTCCAGTCACCAAGCAGTCACTATTAAAGTCACGCCGACCACACAAGGAAACAATCTCCATCACGTGTGTCGGAGCAAAGGAACTCCACCAATGGGCCACCGGCCAAACAATGTCCCTGGGCGTGTCGCATTAAAATACAAATTAAACACGCAGTAATTAGCCTTTCAACTTGGAAAGGAATGGAATTGTGGTTCCTAACAACAATGAGCAGCTTGATATAAAATAACCGAGTTATCAGCACTGAACAAATGGAATCTCTCTCTGGAGAATTCGAGGAGCCAAGCGGAAGACTGCAGAGGGCTAAATATGGGCCTCTGCTTCGTATTGATCTGGGAGAGGCGTGTTGTGTGTGTGTGTGTGTGTGTGTGTGTGTGTGTGTGTGTGTGTGTGTCTTGGTCCTGGCCCCTGTCTTTTGTCCCCATTGACTGAGAAATTTGCCAAGAAAGAAGAAAAAGTCCATTTCCATGTTAGACTGTCTATTCATTTTAACATTTGAGAGGAAAGTAATGCACAATTATAAAAAAGCTTATCCAAGGATCACACGTTTCATATTTGTCCCTCTACTAAATAACAGCCCCGTTTTCCATACAGTTACCCCGGTTAGCATTATTTGCATTATTTGATGCAGGAGAGTACATCCGGCTGTCCCTGAAAAAGGAGAATATTTACAACAAACACTTTTTCTATTCCTCACTTACATTTTCCATCAATTTCCAGCAATGGTCCAGATGCTGCTGGGCCTTCCTGCCCTCCTGCAGATGCTGCTCAAATATACACACAAACACACAGAAATAGTGTATATTAAAACACATATACATAAAAATGACAGTACACCAGAACAATCCCCTGGAAAGAGGAGTCCAGTGACTAAAGCAGTCAGATTATAGATTTAGACTTAACGGCGCTGAAAACGAGTTACTTATTACATAATTATGAGTGCAATTATCAAAAAAGCAGGTGAGTCAGGAAGTTCTTATTACATTTCTTTGGTTTGGACAGTGACGCAGCTCTTTTTTTCCCCCAACATCAAAATACAAACAAAAACAACCTGTTGTTGCAGTTTCAAGAACAAAACAAGTAAAGGTGTTTGGTGCTTCACAGTAAGAGGGCGCTGTTCTTCTAAAGCACATTGATCTCACATATTCAGAGCTCAGGGCAGAAGCAGATGGTGGGAGCAATAAAAACAGATGGTTAACATCCCATCCAACAATATTTATCCTCCTGAGTGAAGCCAAACTGAAAATAAATGCACATGAGGCGACACACAGGAAACAAAGGGCCAACAGCAACATCCGCTTCACGACAGGAAGCCACGGGATTCCTGGGAGACTTGGTCCAAATGATCAATGGGCGCAGTGTGAAACACGCTGAAAGACGGCGTCCCGGGTCCCGGGGCGCTGGACATCACGCAGAGGGCAGCGCAGCGTGGAGACGCATCGGTGGACTCACGTGCTTCCGCTCAGCTTTGAGGTCCTGGCTGTACCTCATCAGCTCCCCGTACACCTTGTGAGTCATCTCCTCCGCCACCACCTCCCTCTGACCCGCGTAGTCGTTGAGCTCGTTCAGCACAGAGTAGAAGGACAGACATGATGTGAACCTACGCAGCAGACACACACACAGACAGACACGTGTGTGATTAACACAGCGCGCTCCTTTCCTCGTCTGTTCCCCCACGCACCTGAACTCTTACAGTCCATTAAGAGATTCAAGTCGAATGAAACATATTCTTCTGCAACATTTGTTTTCTACTCATTTCATTAACTTGTATATTTGTGTGTTTGTCACTACAATTTAATTGTTGTGTAAGACACAGGATCAATAAATTAGTAGATTTATTGATCCTGTCTATAGATCATTTCTATAGATTTTAAATTCCTTTGTAGAATCTGTGACAAATAAGACTTGAAATAAATGAATTACAAACAGATACTCACTCAGACCACAATTTACCTTTACAATATTGTCACAACGTGCCCCATGCGCCTAGAACACTAGTCAAGAAAACACACGTAACACTGTTTTTGTAGTGAGACCACTTGAGGAAACATTTTAGCGTGCAGAACATTTTGCGCTGTGTATAAAGTGTGAAATAGCGGCTGTCAGCAGTCACATGACAGCGAGCACGGAGGGTGAGTGTGTGTTCCTGCTGCTCCTGCAGAACGAGTGGAAAATAGAAACTATGGTCCACATCTACTCACCTCGGCTCCTCGTCTTTAGAGCGCTTGGGACAGTATTTCTTCACCAAGGTCCTGATAGGAGAGAAGGAGAGAAGCAGACGCAAAGGTTAAAATACTGTCTGATATTCTAAGCCTGGTGGTAAGTTACGACACACACACACACACACACAGGATCTCCGTGTTTTATTAAAGATGAATCGTCTGCTCCCTCAGGCTCTGACAACAGAGACTCCAGCACAGCGGCGAGTTAATGATTGAACTAGAGACCAGAGGCTGGTATGCGTGTGTGCGTCCATTTTTTTTATTATAAAAACATGCACCCGTCCATCTTTGAACAGTCTTCAGACCTGCAGAAGCAGCACAGTGTGTGTGTGTGTGTGTGTGTGTCATATTCTGAAGGGATTTCCCCTCACTTGAAATAAACCACTGGGACTCAACTGCTTTTAAATGAGGTGTTGCAACGATTTCAAACCAGTCAATAAAACACTTCACCCCTGGTGTGCAGAAATCAGTACTGAGAGGTCGTCAGCAGGAAAACACTTAGATTGAATCATCATTGTGAAAAGACAAAGAGCCCAAATGGAGTCCCTCGATAGCTGCTATAAAGGCCTGGGTGTGTATGTCTGTATACCTGCCCATGTGTGCATACGTGTGTGTGTGTGTGTGTGTACCGTAGCTGCTTGGCGTAGTTCTGCTCTATGTCCAGCCTCTCCTTGACAAACTTTGCGTAGCGCTCAAGGAAGTCGATCCCCCACTGAGTGTGTTTGTCCAGATTATCAAACTGGTCCTGGAGAAGAGACGGGAAGGAGATGCCATGAGAGAGAGAGATAGAGAGAGAGATATTCAAACTCTTACATATGAAAAGCCTGTTTTTATTCACACAAATAAAACAAACATACTCACACGTCTCATACATGAAGAGACGCAGTGCAGAAAAAATAATGAATAACACATCTGCCGATTCAGTTCTTGCATTATAATGAGCCAGAAAGAAAGAAAGATTATCAGTATCAAGCTTCCATGATAAACAAAGTATACATGAAAGCTGGAAGACAAAGAAAACATTTATATAAATTTGGTCTCTCGTTACCATTTTTAGAAGCCATTTTGTTGTTACCCATGAAGTGAGCAGCACTAGCTGCCACAGTCTGTGCCTCTCGCTTTATGCGTCCACACTAACCACGCAGCACATAGGGGGCACCGAGGGCCACACCAGACTGCTGACCCCCTTGGTTGTTCACTGACCATCTTTACAATTACAAAAGACAGCGAGGGGGCCTTTAACGTGGCGGGTTGAGTGGTTGGCCAACACGGCTTCCACCAGAATCAAATCAGTTGGCGTCTTTGAGTCGAAGTGTTCACTGAGGTATCGTGTTCACCCCGATGGGCGGCGTGGAGGCACAAAAAGTTAACTAGTAATAAAAATACAATCGCCAGGACGGATACAGCTCTGCGATTGGTCTGACGGGTCGGTGCACAGTGAAACACAACAGCCAGTCAACAGTCAGCCTGCAGGAATGAGGTGAAACCTTGTGTGCGGGACAACCGCACTTTGTCATGTAAAACAAGCGAACCCCTGCAGCCCCACGAACGAACCACCAGACAGGACCGAAAGAACACTAAACGGACAAAAGGACCCCGCCGTGTTAAAAAAAATAAAAAACAGGGACGGGTGAACCTTGGACTGGCAGAGCGAGCGGCATCCACGGCGCTCTGCGGGGCTCAACGCCAGCTTTCATCAGCGGGAAAGAAAGAGCTGAAAAAGATCAGAGTGGTGCACGCGAGTGCCAAGTGCATCGCAGCCAATTTCAAGCCGGCTTTGTAGATCGCAAAGATCTGAACCCTTTTACAGCCCAGACGCCAAAACACTGACGAGGTGAGCTGGGTGCTGCAGAGAGAAACGCTTTGGCCGCCGTTCACGTGCAGCCTGCCGGTCCCGCTGCCTCCTTTCAGCCTGTGTGTGTGTGTGTGTGTGTGTGTGTGTGTGTGTGTGTGTGTGTGTGTGTGTGTGTGTGACGGCGCTTATGAATAAGTGATAGAGTATGAGCTCATCCTGAAGCTTGCGGCAAAGCGGAGAACATAGACCGGCTCACTGGGGAAATGATCACATCTTTGTGCCCCGGGTGTCTCGGCTCGCAGGAACAGCAGGAGGAGGAGGATGGAAAGGAGGAGGAGGATGGAGGGTTTTAGCACAGTCGACTAAAAGTGGTCGACGAGGCTGAAGCACCTGCGCTGTACAGTGAGTGACACAACAAGCATGTTATTTTCTGTGGCGCTCTAGTCTGTAATCATTAGACTGACAGGTGCTAACTTGCTAATGACATATTAACTGTCCACGGTATTACCGTCGCATTGAGGCGTTTGGGTCCAAATGCAACTCAATTTCCTTTATTTGTATTATTATTATTATCCTTCCCAGAATCAAACCTCAAAGAAATAGGTCACAGCTCTCTGTCTGCCGCCTCTCTGCCTCCCTCTCCGCTTTAATGAGCTTCGATCGCAGGCCGGGAGAATAAATTAGTCATTTGGGTCCCAGACGGAGGAGAGCTTAAGACGCCGTGTGCGTCGATCCCACACAGTCCGGTCCAGCCAATCAGAGAGCCAGGCTGCCAGTGTGCATTCCACGGGAGGAGGCGGGTTAATTAGCATAGAAAACGCTGCTAAGACAAAAGACTAATTACACACTGTGGCATTCCTGAGCGCGCGCACGCACACGCACATGCGCACGCGCACGCACGCACGCGGTGGGAAATGTCAACTTGTCTGAAACACTGGCATCACCGGTGACCCCCGGGCTGTCTGAGCTTTGTGTGTGTTTACGTTCACTGTGTATCCGTGTTGATCTTCCTCAAAAACAACCTAAAAAAACAAAAGAAAGGCTCTTCCAGGAATGAGATGGGAGGGGGAGACAATATGTGTGTGTGTGCGTGTGTGTGTGTGTGTGTGAGGGAGGAGCAGAGCAACATTTTGAAGGGGTAGGTAAGAAAAAGAAAGACGAAAGAAGAAAAAGAGGAAAGTAGGAGGAAAACTGGAGAGAAGCAGCGTGCATCTGTGTGCGATAAACATTCGCTCGGTCTACGTCTGCATTTTAACACTTAATTTGATCAAATAATCCTAAACTTTTACAATGTTTAAGTACATACGCTGCTATTAGGCTGAGGTGGGGCATATGAATACAGTTACATTCATCTTAATCACATTATAGGATGACTATTAATATTCCTGTAATCAATCAAGAAATTGGTAATATATATAAATGAAAAATAAATGACTAGAATCTTTGTTTTTTGCTTAGAACACCATTGTTCTAAGCAAAAAACAAAGATTCTATTCATTTATTTTTCATTTGCAAAATGGCCCACAGCAAGGGGGTGGGAAATATTCTTAAATATTTATGTGGCGATGATACATTCTCTGTCTCATTGTTCTATTACTTATCATATCATAGCTTGAAGCATTGGAGCTTTTGCAATGTTGTTTAGACAAAACAAAGGGGCGACCTGCATCTACTGAGTAGAAACGAGGCTCGAGGAAGGAAGCACACACAGTGCGTATTCTGTATTAAGGACACAAGGGACGTCTCCAGTGAGCCCAACACTCACAATATAAATACATGTTCGTGGGAGCGTTTCTGTCTTGTACCTATTCTTAGCCTGGAGATCCAAGTTAAGTTAAGATTATATATAAAAACACACACACGGTGTGCTGTTTCATTGCTGAGATCATCTGGATCTGTTGCTAAAAAAGGTTGTTGTGCCGAAAAGTGTCCAGCCTCCATCTGAGGGCAGAACAGACGGACGGGGGCTCGCTCGGAGCAGCCGGCTTCATCTGCTTCTCAAACTCTGAATGTTGGCTGCTTTCGGCCTGAAGGCTCCTGTGTTTTCCTCAGAAGGCTTCTAGCAGAGACGCTTCAGTCTACCAGCTCAATTCTGCGTGTTGGAGGTTTGCTGGATGTTCCTCCTCTGCAGTTCCCCGGTGCAAAACCACCAAAACAGCAGTTGAACATATAAAATCAGCAGTGCAAATATAGCTTCCGACCTTACTTCTAACCACCTTCTCTCCCTCCACATTTCTTGTGGATAGTTCAGAATAAGAGCCACAAAACTCTGGATTTGCAGGAAGGCTTTTGCTGTGAAAATCACCAGCACGAAGTGTTGAGCTTGCAGTATCTGAGACCACCTGAAAAGTTTGACCCAAATTCACAAAAGTGACAATTAGCATCACTGCTAAAAGTGCACGGAGGAATCAACAGATGTTCTCCAGTTATTAAGAGAACTCCAAAGCGAGTCTCGTGGACGGCAGTCGGCTCCGATTCAGAGACAGTCGCTCTGTAACGTCCCGCTGGGCTCCGCTCACATCGATCAGGGAGGTAAAACTAAACTCTGCTTGTTTTTTTTGGTTACGTGTGCGTCCCAAAGTTCGCCGATGGGGTCAAATGGGTGTGATGAGACGGGACGATTGTCCAAACGTTCAGAAGAGGTCGATAAAGGGGAGTTTCTTCCTCTTGTGTAATCGCTAGAGCTTTCGTTTTGTAGACATGGATGATGATTCCAAACAGAGAGCATTGACTTACACCTCGCTACCAGCTGTGCACCTCGCTACCAGCTGTAGCTGTGCATGTGTTAAAGAGGAGGGGGGGGACGGGGGGGGGGGGGGGGGGGGCAACTCTTTCCTAGAAACCCAAACAGAGCGCAGAAAGAACAGCATTGCAAATGATGATGAATCCTGTAAACATACATTTCAATGGAGCTTTAATGATGCAATGGTCAACTCATTCTTTACTTGAATGAAGTATTTATCAAGTCTATCAAGCAAATATGGCTGTTGGTCAATCAGAGCTAGACATCTTAAGACATAAAATGTGATGGCCTTTTACCGCGACAACTTCCATCCAAACCATAACTGAGAAACAAAACAACCTCTCTTTGACTAATCACCATTTACACTATTTGCTATACAAGTTTTACCCAAAACTATGCCTGACCGTGGCAGCTAATGGCCACCTTTGAATGGACGCAGAGAGGAGACGTCCACCGTTAACCCCCCCACACTCTGATGCACTAAAGAGGCCCTGCGGTACCTCGGAAAGTCACACAGCAAATAGATTTAGTAAATATCACCACGGTGTTGGTTCACACGCGGTGCAAATGATACATGCAGGGACAGGAGGCTACAGACCTCAAGTCAGTTAGGAGTCACACTCAGCCAATCAGAAGTCAGTGAGTACACAACAAGCTTTTTGCTGACTGGACAGAACGGCGCCTGGTTAGCGAGGAGAGCAGAGGGAGCCTGAGAGAGAGACACAGTGCACATGCCTGTCATGTGTTGATAATAAACATGGATGACCCGGCCCTCCTTTACCACAATAAGCGCTCTGTTGCTGCAGCACAGCCGTGCATACACATCCTCTCTGTCTTTCTTTCATACAATTGTATACCTATATGTCTTATACACCGAACCCAATGTCCTTTATAATGGTCAAAGACAACAATAATAAATAATGGATATTATCTTAGCTTCAGTCCACCATTTCTGCTTAGCTGTTAACCTGCTTCATACTGCTTTCCATGTGGGATATTCAGTCAAAAATGTTTCTACTTGAACTTCCAGTTTAAGTCATTGCAGTATTCAAGTTAAGACTTCAGAAAGACATTAAAGTGTCCACCTGTGACTGTGATCACAATGAGGTCCCAACTTTTCACAGGGAAGGGATTCACTGGCTTGAATTCATCATCCCAGAACATCGGAACCCATAAAGCAGGGGTCTCAAACCCATTTCAGGTTCGG